TCTTCTTAGGCAAGACTTGCAAATTTGGTACTGATAAATAAGTCAAATGTATTTATAAAAGAACTTCATTTTTTAAATGTTTCCATGAAATATTACAAAAATTGTATTGTGAATGTGTCGAATAGTATTGTTTTGAAGGTAGCTATAGGTACTTCTTGAAGTTAAAACCTCTTTCAAGAATTTACTCCACAATGACACGCCACGAAGAAGAAAAAAAAAAAGAAACCAACACCTTAGTCTTATGTGAACACGGAACCTGTAAAAGGTCTCTAAATAAAAGAAACCAATTAAAAAATGTTTCATTTATGAACTTTACAATTTCCATATAGATTAACAATGGTACTTTAATGATTAAAACTACTTGCCTGTCTTCAAAATGCTAAATAACATTGGTGATAGTTTACTCATTTTGTCATCAAAGTCGCGGTCACGGAAACATAAATATTACATAAGTAAGTCCACTGACCTGACGAATACTTTCTCCATCAATGAATATCAAATCAGGCGCACTAAAAAAAACCGGCTGTATGCCCGCTAGAGTATAGACATACACCACATTAACTTAAGCTTCATGTAGTCATTAAAACATATATTAAAAGCAAGTATGAAGCTAATTATTTACTTTAGCTATATTATGGTTAATGTAGATATCATTATTAAAAAGAGGAAAAGTTTGGTTTGTTTGTAGGGGGTAACCCTATCTTCGGATATGCTGATCAGAGCATGAAAACTTTTATTTGCGGGAAGGTACGTCATATATGGTTGCTATAAACTGTCATTAAAGCGGACGAAGTAGTGGGATAATAGCTAGCGAATGTTAGTAATATTGTGTTTCCTCTCCTAATCCTTTATTCTGTAACTACTAGCTTTCCATCAGCGGTTACGACTGCGTGGTTCCCAGTGAACAGATTAGTGGAATCAAAAGTAGTTTATACTTATGTTAATTCAGGCTTAGAATTATCCATATACCAAATTTCATCCGAATTCACGCAGTAGTTTTTGCGTGATAGAGTAACAAACATACATCCTCAAAAACTTTCGTATTTATAATATAAGTAGGTACGATTCAGACCTTCTACACTAATAATTTCAACGAACGCGAATACCAAATAGATGTAATAAACTCTAGCTGTCTGGTATTTGACTGCGATATGTTATTTCATATTCCTGGTAGTTGGCATAAACTCACACGCAATTCTGATATTACATCGATCATTGTCAGACCATCCCTATTAAGTGTGAACTGTATATTTATAGCAGTACTGATTGTGAGAGATAGGTACTAATGTGGAATTACTTAAATAGAAAAGGTAAATTATATACATCTTATGAAACAAATAAAATTAAAGAGGTGGAAGAAATTTACAACGTATTGCATAGAAAATGTGATAAAGTTTTACACAAATGTTTCAAAGTATTTTGATATCGAGATAATTTTTTAGGATATTCTTTTTTTTTTCTTTTTTTGAACAATTCATTCTGTCGAATTGCTTATACTTCCATCTTCAAATGTAAAATGTTATTATTTTTTAACAAACAGCTGTATGGGTAGTTGCACAAACGTCCCTTAAGGATTAATGACGCCTTTTAGCTCTAATGAATGTCAAATTTGTATGGGTAATATCACTTTAAACTAATGTCAATCTTAATGGCCGTTTGTGCAACTAGCTAGTAGTGAGTAGTCTTAATGATTTTTTTTTCATTTACACGAATATTATTGTAAATTTTTGTAGGTATATGATATGAATTGCAGACTCAAGCATGGAGGGTTCCGTAATCGAAAAAATCACGTTTTTTGTATGAGTGCTCCCTTAAATATTTATTTTATTCTGGTTTTCAGTATTTGTTCTGTATCGGCAACAGAAATACATTATCACGGTTACGGTTCACGAGATACTGCTTGGTGACAGACAGACGGTGAAGTCTTAGTAATAGGGTTCCCGTTTTACCCCTTGGGTACGGAAACCTAAAATTAAAGAAATACAACTTTTTAATTTTCTCTTTGATGACAAACACAGAGTAATAAGAAAGACTAAGAAAATGTATTTCGAGTCCTGCTTTAGCTACCTACGTTATAATAACGTTGAACTTTTGGAGCAAGAAAAGTACAAATTGTGTCTATTTATATTCTGAATGCGTGCACATTTTTATCAAATACTTTTTTAATTCTCGTAGTACCTAAATAATGAAAACAACATTAACATACAACAAACACTTTCAAAGTACAAACAAATTATAATGACAGATATACGAGTTGGTGAAACATGAACAAAACGATAATAAAAACACAATTTACTCACATTGTCTTTCCCAAACACATTAAGAATGTTAAGAATTTCACTTAGGATTTTCTCTTTGTAGTTTCACCCGGTGTGGTCAAGACATAAATTTCTATAATTTATTTTCATAGCCAATTATGGGTAGAATCGTAAATGGGGCTTTACTATTATCGAGTGCTTAATAAAATTGTTTTATTTAATTAAGATGATAATGTTTCTTTCATGCCAATTTGTAGGTTATATCGCTATTATTTGTCGTTTTATTTTTACGTTCAATGATATATATTTTCAACTCTATAGACAGAAAAAAAAAAATAAGTATGCACTGCCCAAAAATTGTGAAATTCGGTAATTAAAGAAAAACAAAAAACCCGACTGCGTAAAAACGAAAACCCCTTCGGAAGATTTGAATGGGCCTCGACTGTGAGTCGTTCTGTTCTGCATTAGAATTTATGATTTGTTTTATCTGTGTATCGATTATAAAACTATCTCAATTGTGTAGTTATTTAATATTACTTAACAGAATTCTAAACTACTGGGCTTGTTTCTTTCTTTTTAGTTTTTATTTAAGTTAATTTTTTCATGTATTTTTTTAAATTCATTTTTACACAGTCGGGTTTTTTGTTTTTCTTAAAATTATTTATTTTTATTTTATACTTCTTTTAGTTATCTATCGAGTTCATCTATCGAGCTTGGTGGTAAACTTTTTTTACTCGGCGACTTGGCGGTGAAAAAAGTTATTTTTTTTACCAAATAATATTTGTTCTTCATGCACTTTTCACTTTTAATTTTTTGGTTGTATATCGTTTATACTTTAAATAAAAACGTAAATCAATAAGTAAGAAAATTAGCGAGAATGAATCAGCTTTAAATCGGTATATATCCTAAACTATTATTTAAAATGAAAAATGATAAAAGGAACCTAAAAAAAACCTAAAAATAAAAGGAATTTTAAAATACCTATTCAACGACACTCCACTTGACATAGTTCATCGATATTATTTTTTTTCATTTTGACAATATGGCGTCTGGTTGTCGCTGTGGTGAAGTTTGATTACTGTCATGTCTTTAGTGACACTCGCAAGATTAAGACGAATCGATTGACATAAGAATCATCAAAATCGGCATATGCATTTGGTCTCTAGAACGCCACATAGAAACAAACAAACTCCTTTGCGTCGCGCAGTCGGGTAAAAATAGCCTTCATATAAAAATAAATATTTTCCCCTTAACTGACAATGAGAGAGATACCGAGATATATCATTTATGAAGCCTTTATGATCGTATTTCTTAACGTAGGATTGCTCATCATTGCTCACAGAACTATAAAATAACTAGCAAAGAAAATATTTATTCACAGTGCTAATGTAATTAAATTTTGGAGGTACCTATTATTGAGAAAATTATATTATGTTTAGTCTGCGTCTTTAAAATTTGTTTATTGTATGAGCACAGGTAATTTTACTTAATTACAATTTATCTGAAATTTATCTTGTTAAAAAATAGATTTGGTTGTTGTAAAATCTTTGAAATACATTGCAATATCGATGGTAGTCTATGTTCTTTATTCTCATAAAGTTTCAGTACGAAATTAGGTTTTTGCATCGTGAATGTTCCAATGTTATAAATACTAGTATATACCTATAGCAAACAACGTTTATTTTCAAACAAATATCACAATCAATAAAAGATTAGTAGATTATCTTTAAATATAATCTCAGATAATATTTATTTTATTAGTAAATATGAGCAGCATTCTAAGCTTTTTATTCAACTCGAGTAGATACAGTACTACTCATTTGTTTAGTAAACATTTAACATGCATCTGATACTGATGAAAGTGGAAAACACAATCTGAATACACAAACTCCATAGTTTATACACAATGCTGAGAAAGTGAGATATCTTACCAAGACACGGGAAAAGTGAAAATAAAACCTAAACTTTTTACAGCACTTGATTGGAAAGTTGTCACGTCAAGTCGTGGTCTAAGCAATAGAAATCATATTGACGTTTCTGACTTTTATTGATCATACATCACTTAGAAATATTATGTAATTAGCTTCATATTTAGGTAGGTAGGTAATTAAAGTATTTTTGGACATTCTTGACGTAGCACAGTGAAATAAAATCTTCAAATTGATTATACATATTATTTAATATTAGTGATTTTAATTTGTTGCTTTCTTGACAAACAAATATTGACCCACGTAACGTTAGAAAACTAAACTACTTTGTGACCTAATCATTATCTAAATATAAAAAGGAATGATTTGGTTATTTGTTTGCATTGTACTGGACGGATTTTAAAAATTCTTTCACCCACTGGAAGCTAGTCATATGCGGGTGATGTAATTTTATAATTACCGCGGGCGAAGTCGCGAGAAAACAGCTAGCTTTACTACTCATATATCTTGATACCTTCTCAGATACGATTCAATAAGGATTGAATCATACTAGTGAAAGAATAGGTACTGAAAGAATAGGTACTAAAATCGTTTTAAGTAGATATACGTACATCTTTTTCAGTGCCTTGAAGATAAATTATCTATATTATAATAGAAAATAATTACATATCCATGAACAAGCAGAAGTAGAGAACAAAGACATAGAGCAGTCCTCAATTTGGCGAAAGGTTAATTAAATGGAATAAAATCAAAATAAAAGTTTTATTTCGAATCTGTATACAACCTTCACTTTGTCAGCAAATATTTTATTGTATCACTTGCATGATCCACCTGATCCACCAGTACTGCCAGCACCGCCATCTACAAAACAAAATAATGAAAATATCATGAGAAATATAGTATACAACATGATGAGTTAAATCAATGAAAATTAACGTGGATAGGTACTACATCAGAAGAATTTAATGAAATGAAAAATACCACACAAGAATTTAATGAAATGAAAAATATACTGGATACGATTAGGAATATAAGGTGTTACCACTTCGTAACACCTTAATTCACTACAATATTTTACTCACTAAAATAAGGTGGTGCCACTTGGTAACACCTTATTTTACTCCATTACAAAAATAAGTAAGTAGGAATCTATCTACTAATTCCTACTTCATTCTTTGAAGTGTGACTGGTAGGTGGGATAGTTAGCTAATCAATGGAAGGGGCAATGAACTTCCTTGTTCAGTGCTAACGACTGATATAGGTACGTCACTTTTTAAAATGGAATAGATATTATCTTTAGTAGGTACTTAAGTCTTTGTTCAATTTTTATTTCTCACAACAGAAAACTTTTCTTTTTTTCTTAAATGCCAATATTTTGTGAACAATTTATTATAAAATTAAATTATTTAACTATTTGGAGAATGAGACAGTAATGTCTGTTTTAATGAGTTTTTATGAAAAGGCCAGAATACTGTTAGGAGGGTCAGCTATTTAATCAAGCATTACCTAGTTACCTGGATCAAATAATTTTCCAGTTTCGAATAGGCGCACGGCTTCTTTTTCTTCTGCAGCAATTTTAGCTTTCAATATTGCAAGCTGTTTGTCACGAATTATCTTCTTCTTTGCCTCCTCTTCACGATGCGACGCTTCCATCGAATTATAAAGCGTTTGTTTACCTCGTGCGTAAATGATACCGGCTAACAGTAAAGCAAACCTTAAACCTCGGATAAGAGGTGACACCGGCTGCGGCGGCCCGTATGGCAAAGACATGTTTGTTCAAATAATTATCATTTGACCAAGGTTTTTGTTAAAATTATAATAATGACAACCAAAGAGAATTTAAAAGACAACCTCAAAACGAGACAACTTTCATTGACAAAACTATTTTTTCAAACTGACGAAATTGTATGCTGTTGCCTGTATTTTTAAACTATAGGTCAGCGCGAAAAGGTCGTTCACCTGTAACTATTTTTTAAAATTAGAATAAACCTATAATCTAGGTCAATGGTACGAGTGCAAAGCTTTTCTGCGGGCTTCTTGCCGAAGTATGTATTGATGTGGTTATAATATTGTTTTAGTGAAAACTGTAAAATATTTTTTCGCCGACATTGCTAAGTGGTAGGAAGGCCAGTGGCCGAGTGGTTAGCTAAGAATACTTGTCTGCGACCACCATTTTAGCTGACTGGCGATACGCCAAAGCCAACGGTCGTTTTGTATCTATCGAGTAGTCAACAGGAACTAGCGTTTATTGATTTGAATCAATCATTGTCGTTTAGCTGCACTACATTATATAATAGTATTTTAAAATATAATATTTGTTAAGGGTTCTATTACATCTCGATTGTGATTTTTACGTAATATGGTCACTTTGGTATTCTTGATTTAGAAATTTTCTAGTTTTCTAGTTAAATACATTTAGTAGATTATTACTCATCAACTTGTAAAGCCAACTTAAGTATGATAGTTTTCTTTTAACTTAGTTTAGCATTTTCGTGTACTTTATTTAATATTAGCGACAAGGATTCTAGTCATTGGAATTATCCAAAAAATATTTAAACAAGTACCTAAACAGCTTTAATCATAAAAAAATGGTTTTGGAAAAAAATGACATGGAATAGGTATAATTACAATGACAAATTGAATTGTAATTGTAATGCCCTATTTGAACATCCACACTCATTTTCATGCCTTTATGTATTATTTTTCGCGATAAGATAAAAAATACGGTTGTGGACTTTTTAGAACTTTTAAAAGGACCAATTTCGTAAAACAAGATTTTTGTATAACTTTCACCGTTTAAGCAGCTCACGCAGCTTACTGTCAAAAAGAAAATTCTCTTCCCGTTGTAACATTTTTCATTGCTGCTTCACTCCTATTAGTCATAGCGTGATGTTATATAGCCTATAGTCTTCCTCAATAAATGGACTATTCAATACAAAAGATAATTCAATTAGAAACAGTAGTTCCTAAGATTATGGAGGTCAACCAAACAAACACTTCAGCCTTATTATTAGTTTAGATACCTAAAAGATATTACGATACCTTTATTGTTTCATTAGATACCTAAAAGATATTATGATACCTTTATTGTTTCAGATTTTCTTAATAAAAGGGATTTTCTTAACACGGTAACTATTTAGGGGTCTGATTAATGCATGTGATATGATGTAGCCAAATGTTCATTTTATTTATAGATAATTGAGGAAATGAAATGGCCATAACACGACGATGTAACTGTGCTAATAACAATAATCATTTAACATGTCCGGGCGGTCGTATTATGTTGGGTACCTACCGTGGTACCTATGTTAGTTTATCACATGATAAGACAGAATACCTACCGATTAACTGCAGACAAACGCTCATACCAACTTCTACTTAAATGATAGCGTAATATTGAAACCATTGTAGATGGTACTATGGTATTATATATATAATACCATATATAATAATACCATAGTACACCTATATATTGCATTATAGCTCTCGGGGCCAGTGTCGCAATGCATAAGGAGTAAATTGTTATGACAACGCTTGTTGTTATTATAAAGGTCACGGTTCAATAACAGCATTAGGTAGGCGAGGCACGAAATAGCCATTGCGTAATCATCCTTATATAGAGCAAGCAACCGTTAATCGAGGAAAATGTAATGCATAGATACTAACTACATTGTATTTTACAAATAGGTAACTATGCACTCTTATGGTCTAAGTAATATACGTATATGAAAATAAAATGTACAAAGTTTTAGAACTAGATAAGCAACAACAACATTTTTGACACAAACTGACAGATGACACATAAGTAATTTATTATAATATTATTTTGTACGAAAAAGCAAATACAAACTCAACAATATCTTCATAAGTCAGTATTTGAATCGGAGTCTTTCAGTCAAGAAAACGAGATGAAGATACTACATAAGAATTATTGCGTGAAATAAAGAATCTACAGTATTTTTTTAAATAATTGCTCGCTATCCATTATACCTATACATTATAGCTATAAATTACTGTTACTCATATATTTTTAAATTTTTAGAGGTAGGTATAGATAAGTTTCTATTAAGAAAATTTTATCATATAGATCGCGATTTGACCACTGACCACTTAGAATAAGATGTTTTTTCTTATTTTAGATTATTTCGATTTTCAATGTACAAAATGTATTGAACGGCGATGATTTTTCATTTTAGTTAGGTCATTCTATAAAATAACATTGAGTGGATCCCCTCCTCAAAGTTATACTTTAATGAATTTATTTGACCTTAAGGTCCATATTCGATCAAAAGAATAAATCTGTAATTAAATGAAATAAAATTAAATAAAAATGTCTTTATTCAAGTAAGCTTATTTCAAGCATTTTTGAATCGTCCAAAAACATATTTTTTCCCTATCACTTGTTGATAAATGTGTAAATATAAACTTTGATTTTAACATTAAAATTCCTTCAAACGTATAAAAGTTTACTATAGAAAAGATTTGTTAGAAAATACACAGATACCACTTTACGATACCACATGATTTACCGCCATTTCTTGATATCCCCCTCTCTAGATATTGTATGTCTCTTTTACACCGTATACGGCAAAAAGTTATATCCATCCTTATCTATCATTGTACTGTACAGTTTTTTAGTTCGCTCGTTGTTGTCATTCGTAGGGGGCGTTTGTGACGTTACCAAATTGATATCTCATTCAAGAAAATAAATTTAAATGTAAGACTTTGATTAAAATCTGGATAATAATTTGATGTAAATGAAAAACAAAGTGTTTTTATCATTTCTTCTTAAATTACAGTGTTAAAATATAACCAATCAATTATATTGTGGGTGTGGTGAATGCCGAAAGTTGTATGTCAAAATACATTTCTTTGAAAAATTCATCAGTCCAATGATTTCGTGCCTGAAAAATCGAGTTAAATAAAATCCCAATGACGTATCTAGTATTAATAAAAAATGTGCTGTATTGTCGACTGTAAATAATAAAACTGTTGATAACCTTACAAGTGAAAACATTGTTCAGTGTAGTGTTTTGTATTTATAGAAGTCGTCGACTACAAAAACGACGACGATGACAACGCCAGCCAAGCTGTACGGACGAGACATTTCTCAGTACGATGAGGTGGATGTGGACGAGCTGCTGTCCAAGCTCACACAAGAAGAACTCACCATGTTAGCGAAAGATGTTGATCCAGATGTAAGTATCTGATCTTTTACAAATCTATCAAAATTAGCTATTATATTATGTAGCCCTTATTATAGATTGATAAACATTATAAATTGATAAGCAGTACATAATCTTGACTCAAATATGAAGGCTACTTATTATTATGAATCTATTATACACTATCTATATACCACTATAAAATATCATACCAACAGGATTATCAACCTTTTTACCAATAATATCTAAGCACTAAGAACAGCTTGGAATTGTCACCCCATAAATAAGAATTTGAAATGCCTATGATTTAATTAATTAAACATTTTAGTCAAAATTGACTTTATTCAAAGTGGTAGAGTTAATACAAGGTGTATTTACTCAGTGATATAATTTACACCTCAACATTAGCAGAATTACTATATAAATAGGTCATACTCATGAAACACATTATTTACATTCTTTATTTTTATTTGAAACCTGATATTTGAATTGTTCACTAGTTTGAGGTATTATTACTTTGTAAAACTAAGTTCTCTCACATGTAAACAGACATTACTTTGAAGGCCACTATATGTACACAGTATTCTTCAATTGTTGTCATGGTCACCTTGTGTTAGTAACTACATTCAAATTACTCTCGTACTGTCACAAGGTAATTGTTGCAGATAATGTTATAAAAATGTCTAAAATTCAGGAAATATGGTATAATTTTAACTACTGTGAATATTTACATATCTAACAACATCACATACATTGCTCAGATTCCAAGATGAGTAGCTAAAGCCCCCGTATTATGGAGTATCTGAATCAAAGAAGGCACCACATCACCCAGACCTGAGACAAATAGAAAAGTTCATTTTCTACATCAATTGGGAATCGAACCCGATGATGACAACACCACAAAACCAGTGTGCAAGCCACTCTGTAATGGTGGTCATTGTGGAATAGAATATGCAGCAAAACAATCATTCTTGCGTACTTCAAATGCTTGCTTACACGTTACTACATATTCTTGTCATTTTATTAACTAGATAAGATTGTATTTTAGTGTTCAATAACGTTATTTCATAATCAGTCCTAGGAATGCATGTAGGGCATGTTTTATCAGTTTATAACAATAAAACAACTAAACATAGTTTATTATTTTAATACTTAGGCATAATTAAGGATAAAATTTCTGATAAAGAAACTAGCACAGGTGACACTTATCAATGTAAATGTAATGCAAATGGTGTGTATTTTTACTTAGTTGCTGCTGTGCTAAATTTTAAAGTTTTAATTAAAATTCTATTAAGGCTATTAACAAATGAACATGCACAAAATGTACTGATGCTATTAGAGAATTTTCTAACAATAAAATATGTTACTGTATGTATGGTAAACTGTATGGTAACATACAACTATTACATTATATTATATTTTACTATGGGTGCATAACATTTTTTTATGTTACTAATGATAATGAAGTTGTAAATGATATCACTTTAAAAGGTCATGGGTTCGAGTCCCATCTCAGAGTGCCAGAGACAAAGTGGATTTTTTTAGCTAATTTTCATTAAGAATATTGATATAACTTTTTCAACATTTTATTTTTACAATTTTTGACAGAGATAATGTCTCTTTTCAGGATAACTGTTTGCCCCCTTCCCTACGTAATAATTATGCGTGTGAGAAGGACCCCACAGGACCACTCAATCGCAAAAAACTTATAGAACACATCAACAAACAGGCCCTGGAGACACCTGATCGGCCAGAGGTTAAACCCTATGTGGCAGGAGTCATACGGGGGAAGAAGGTAATATTATGAAACCCTCATTCATAAACCTTCTTATTATATTACAAGGACTGTATTTACTACTATGTTTCAACCATTATCTGACCAAAATAAATTAACACATTTTGAGGTGTTTAGCTTTAAAAAACAACCTATATTAATATCTTCAAACTTGACTTATTTTTACTATTTAATTAACAAAAGTTTTGTGCCTTTTATATGAATATTTCTATATGTGCTATGGTATTAACATATTGTACAAGTGTGCTCTTTTTGCACTGTGTTTTTTGCAGTGGATCCCTCCACCGCCCCCGGAGAAGATGCGTGACGCGGAGGAGCAGATCACAATCGACCTCGGTGACGAGTATGAGCAGGCGCTCACAGGAGCCTCGCAGGAGGAGATCATCGACTTGGCAGGTCAGTATCCTGTTTCTTCTCAGTACACATAATAGATTTACAACTGAACAGATTCAGGTTAACATCAGTTCCTAGGGTAGGCGACAAACAGACAACAATATCGGTATTATGTGAGCGCCGAAAGAAAACGATACATATCGCTATTCATGACCTTTGTATCATTCTGTGTTGAATGGGGTGGGGTCAACAAATTACGTCCATATTGTGTGAAAAATTATGACAAACACACATAAATTTGCTTGTCAAATTGTGAAATTTATGACTATCTGGCTTACGTCCAGTGTTATCTTCTTATATAAACATGTATACAACAGCGTGCGGGGTAATGTGGTGATATTGCGTTTTTATTTAGTGTGTGACAAAAGTCTATTGTGATGTTCAGATTAAAAAAACCTTTCTCCAGTCGTTTTTACGCCCTAATCTTGTTACGGTGCGCCGTATCACCGTTTATTTCATCCTTTTAATCCGCATGCAAACTTTTTGTCTTAGATCTTCACATCATTTATTTTTATTATTCACCTTTCTTAATTTGAAATTTTTAGTAATCCAATGTGCTCTTTATGAATGTCAGGTCGTAAAAAATTCACCCGGCGAGAACATGATAATCTAATCATATTTAATCATATAAATCCAATATAAATTATTATTATTTAAATAAGAAAACATGTAAACGTATATCTTCGTGAAATATCTACTAAGTTCTACCTATTACGGAAAACCGAGAAAACGAGTTTTTATTTGTTAAATCAAGTTCTAAAGCTTAGTCAGCCTTTTATTCATTTGCCTAAGCATCAAACCCATCACAATCTGTTCACAGTGCAATTTAAAAATTATTGCAGAATTTTGTGTTAACCAGATGTGCTGTTGTACAAAATTGATTATACCAACGACTACAACTACAATGTTCCATGATTGTTGGCATTTCCCACTTGTTGAAGTTTTTAACGATACTAGAAAACGATGACCGAGCGCCGATAAATGACTTTTAACGAATGCAGATGCAGTAGGAGCCAACGGCTTATCATTCCTTCTGAAGCGCAGAACATCTCGATATAATAAATTTTTGACTACTCATCCTATGGCCGGTCCTTGTGAAAGTTGCTTAACTGCATCGCAGACCGAATGCGTTATCCACTAAGCCATTGAGCTCTCCATCTACTTACCTTCTCACCATTGAATAATAAGTCAAAGTTAATGTTTTGTTCCTCAGCTATCCTGGGCTTCCACTCGATGATGAACCAGGAGCAATACCACGCGTCTCTCCTCAACAAGGGCCAACCAGTCGGCCTGGGATGGGACGGCATTACCAAAGCCACCAAGCCCAAGGTAACTGGATGATACAGTCATTTCACACTTATTTTATATTTTGGAATATACTAAATAAATCCTGTATATTGGAGACTAATTGTTTTCCTGTGACTTTGTCTGCTTAATTATAATCTGTGTCACCCGCGTCTGATGAAGCTTCCCGTAGTTGAAAGAATTTTAAAAATCGGCCGAGTAGTTTATAGGCTGTTCGATGCAAACAAACAATAAAATCTTTCCCCTTTATATGTGTATTAATAAGTTGTATTGTTCCCCTTTCAGATTTACCCAATGGACCCCCCCAACGACACAGATCCCGATGATACGGTTAAAAGAGTAAAGGATAATGACCAGAAACTCACTGATCTCAATTGGAACAATATTAAGGTGAATAATATGTATAATGCTTTATAAATTTAAAACTACACAAGATAAATTGGTCTATTGTAAATGTAATATTGCATTTTATTCAAGCAGCAGATTGGCGAATGTTATTTTATTATTTATGTGATATATGGTTTATCTATGAATTAATCTTGAGCTGCTTACTGATAAAACAGTCACGTTGCTGCAATTGTTGATAATTTATGATTATTTATCGATTAGTGTGCATTAATTGATGGCGCCACAGATTATCATATAACACATTACTAATTTATAATATTGCTGTACGATTTTTATTATTGAAATTGATTTTCTTGATATGAAAGACAGGAAAAGTGCTTGAAAAACATTATATAATATATAAAACTTGCTGTAAATGTATGCACACTGTTCGATACCAACTCATACTAACATGCACGTAATAATAATAATATTTTTTTACCTAAATAATTTACTTGCATTGAAAACCCTTGCTAAATAAAAGCAATTGTTAAAAGTTTATATAGAATCATAAGTAAAATCATATTCAAACGTTATTGATCAATTATATCTCAAAGAAGATTAAAATTACGGAACTCCTTATAGGATTACTTGGTTGTGTATATGTCATGGTCGATCTGCTCCGAAATAAAGTTTACTAGCTGTTTTCTCGCTAATTCTTTATCATTAATTATAGATTATTATAGTTGAAAGACATTAAAATCGGTCCAGTAGTCGATCGGATTCGGTTCAGAGCATATTCAGTGGGAACAAACAAATCTTTAGTGTCTATACAGGATTACTTGTAAAACACTAGCAAGCTTGCAGGATTAGATAGCTGACGTTATAAATAACTGTTGATCATCGAGTTTTTTCCGGGTTTTATTATATTGACGTGATATTTAATCGCTTTCATATGTGGTGGTGAGGTATGGGGGGAACGATTTTTTTTTATTTTTACTAATATTGTGACTATTGTTTTTCAATTCAGCTTGTGTACATGGGTAGTTGAATCGATTTAAATTTTATTAATGTATGTGTTTACATTTTACACGGATACATTATCTGATTAAACCACTGTTTCCATCAATAAATACCCTGGCAAGAATGGACTGTTAAATATTAAGAATTAGCTTTCCGCCAGCGACATACATAATTAATATTCCTTTTGAATCATCCTATCTATGAAGTACTGACACAAAATTTGAGCAAATAAATGTTTTGATTTGATTGATTGTTTTAATATGGAAAAATCGTTTGCTTCCAGAACATAAGCGACGAGAAGTTCGAGAAGCTGTTCGAAGGTCTGAAGACGAACACTCACCTGGAGGTGATCTCGCTGGTGAACGTGGGCCTGAACGACCGCACGGCGCAGCTGCTGGCGGACGCGCTGCGGGCCAACACGACCCTGCGGGTGGTCAACGTCGAGACCAACTTCATATCGCCGCACGGCGTCGTCGAACTGGTGCGCGCCCTCCTCGCCACCACCTCCGTCGAGGAGTTCCGCGCCTCCAACCAGGTATACACCACTGCCAGTGATAATACAGGTGTTCGGCATTCGGAGGTGGGACTCGTATCGATGACCGGGGATTATTTTTGCTTTGCTCCGTGCCAAATACAATCTAGATTTTTAAGCATTTTCCATAAAGAATATTGTTTAGTATAGCATTTGAATGCAAAATAGGTCAAATATGATAAATATTTATTTATTCAAGGTATACATCGTGTGCGTACACAGTATTACACAAAAAAAGCGTAAACATTAAATATATATTGATTAACAAATAGTACACATAAAACAATAATACATGTATTAAAATGATTAAATCTCGCTTTAAAATATATAAATATATTACTAAACTAGTTTGCGATTATGTATATATAAATTGTATTAGTCTAATTTGGAAAATATTACACTTCATAAATGAAAAAAAGGAAAATATATAAAATTAGTTACATTCGATGATAAATGCACAAATATAAAAGATATTACATGGCAATACCATACTTAGGTGTGACATCACTTCTCTGCCTGAATTTGTAAGCATATTTAAGCACTGTAAGCAAGCAGACATGATGTTACATAAATATTACAGTTTATTGTGGTACTGGTAAAACAGGTTTATATTTATAAATCATTTGGTTACAAAACGGGCCACAACCCATCACAGGGAGTTGAGGATATGAATGACTTCAGATGCCCTAACCATTGGCTCAAAGTCCACTTGAGTTAATAAATATTTGGTCACTTATCACATTACCGACCCTTGCGAAGTTGCTTAACGATCACAAATCGAACTCACCGACCCTATTATACATACACCTCAAACGATCGAGTTTGTGGCACGCTTAAAAAGGCGACATGCAATTAACGATGTGCGATGACGATGCAAATGGATAGCCACCCACCGTCAAGTAACTTGACTAGGAACTTGATCGTGTGTGGCAGTCATTAGATACATTCGTTTGTTAATAGCGGTCGCAAGTGCTCGGCAACAAGATAGAGATGGAGATAACGTCCCTGGTGGAGCAGAACCCCACGCTGCTGCGCCTCGGCCTCCACCTCGAGTACAGCGACGCGCGCCATCGTGTCGCCTCGCATCTGCAGCGGAACATCGACAGGAGTGAGTCATACATACATATACATACATACACACTCCATACAGACCTCATCTTATACAGGGTCATTTACAAAACACTAACAATCGAGCTCTACTAGACAGTTAATAACGTTATCAACAATCATTCTATGACTTTGATATTTCGTTATGTTATGTTAACAGTAAAAAAAAAATGTTTGAATTTATTATTCCAATAATTAATAATGGTCGCCGATATTACGTCGCCGGCCAGACCTTTTTTTATTAATTAATAAATCGTATACGTGTACCGACAGTACGGTGAAAATTTAAAATGTGTTAAAACATACTGAGTTATGGTTATATTGGTAGATCAATTATTGTTTATGATGTTAGTTTATCCTGCGTATTTATCCTGCTGCTGATTTATCCTGCGTAGTAGCTGGTGTTTTATAAATAACCCTGTATTACATAATCAAATCGGTTTCTTAGTCCTTATAGGTTTTACTGACGTGTATATTTGACAATTCTAATAAAAAATTAAATGATACAGTTACCATATTAACACGTAAGGTTTATTTATGTAATTTAAATTTCAAATTGGTGTCTTGTAAAGTAGTGATTATGCAGAAATTACTTTTTCTAAAAAAAAGTATATTTCGATTTAAATCATACATATGCCCACTAAATTTAGAATTATTTTGTACATGGTTTATAAGAAGGAGGACCAACGATAAGATTAGCTTACTTACTGAAATTGCTGGTCTGTTCTGATGGTCTGAAATAAATCAACCAATTATTCTTAATTTATTTCATTCTAATTCTAAAGATACTATGATGTATTGATCAATTCTTTAGTCACTTAATTAAATTGTGAATTGCTAATATTTGTCAATGTTCAATATGATAAAAAGATACGGAACACGAGAAATAACTGTTTAATTTAGATTTTTTTTATTATTTTTTCTTATATTACTATCAACAACACTAACAAATAAACTACAATATCGACAAGAGTTAGTGCACATACACATTTTCTTGAAGGTAAACTCGGTTTATTCATTGACCAGTCTTGCGCGATTATGTCCATCTACAAAAACTTATAACTTAAAAATATTCTCATCATATAAACTCACAAATATATAATGTATCTCTACAGTATTAATACATTATATAAACAAAATTATAATACACAGCAACTATACATTTTTGTAATAAAAATGAAATAATAATGAATTCCTAATCTGTTTATAAATAAAATTTCTCAAAATATTACATGAACCTATTTTAACTGTTTGTCTTTTTCTTTCGAATTTAATTAATTCAAGAACTTGACAATTCTATTTTACACAATATAGTAAATAAATAAATTTGAATACTTTTTTAATAATATTTAGTTATTCATAATATTGTTAAGAAAAATTGTTATGTATGTTTATATTTATAAGTTGCACTGAAATGATGCTTTGATCGCTTCATATGCATAATCAAGTCAAAAATCATTGATTCAATGATATATAACTTCAATATCATAAGAGTTCAAGGTAAACCCATTGCATTTAAATTAATGCATTAAATAATTGATTGCATTGAAAAGTAAGCTGCAACATCGATACCTGTACACTTTAAAGTAAAACACCATTAATATGCCTCATAGACATCTAATATCATAGGGACATACCTATGAGGTAATCAGAATAACGTAATAATAACTAGCTAAGTGTGAACGATACAGCAATATAGTGCGTTGGTGTTTTATACTTTATAGTTATTAAAATATAGACTATTTATAAATTTTAATCATATAGAATATGTAAGTTTGGAGTCTGCATCAGGTGGTATTTGATGGGTTTTACTGTAACAAATATTTATTGAAAAATTAGTATCAGGAAACTACCTCTATCGAATGATTTGTAACGATCAATGTGTAAATAAATAACATTTCTGTATAAAATAAACTTTATGTTAAACGCAATAAGGTCGATAGTCGCAGCTTACTTGAAATGTTATGACTTGAGGCAGTAAACGCGTCGCTTGCACGCAGATGGCGGAGCGGGGGGGCGTCGACGTTACGCCGCCATATAGTAAATACTTCACTACTATTAAGACGTTCCACCCCGTTTTATATAATGTAATTATACCAGTGATATATTGTCAATTTATAAAAAAATCGCAAAGAACATTTGATATATTGATTGGATTTCTTAAAAATAACTTAAAACTGTACAAATATTTTATATCATATATATTGTCTCTTAAGTAGACATTAAACGTTGGATGAACGTGTACGCGATAAAATGCAAATTATATCCAAAAACAGTTTGTCAAGTAATTATTTTTCATATATCTGAATAAAATCGGAAATGAAACGTTACGTCATTTCAAACATACATTCCATAATTGGCATGTCTCAAAAGTTGCCATCTATCACTCTACAATTTTATATCACTGGTATCACCGATTAGCGAGTAACATTATATTAAGATACGTCTGCCGTCCGCACATGCACGTACAGCGGCACAGGGCGATTTCACATCCACCATCCTAGGCTTCTGTTAACCGATAATCATAGATCCACGGCTTGAGATTAACCGGCATCCGCATAATACTAGTTCACGACCGAGCGATCTTCGAGAGGCATCGAACGTTCACACCTACGGAATTTAAAATGGAGATGTGATAAATCAGATTGTCGAGTACTAAAACGGAGTAGCGCATCGCTCAGCCTACGTCTGCCGCGCGGCCGTCCGCCCGCGGTGGGAGTGTCCATGGATCTGTTCAGTATGACGCCGCCCAGCGTCGAGCCCGTCACCCCCACCACAGACCGCGCCGCGCCACTCGCTACCCACACTGAATCCGTCGAGAACACAATAGTCGTACCGGCGAAGGATGTCGACACGGCAGCGGATAAATCGCCGGAAATATCCGTAGAAAAAACGGATCCGAACGTAATATCCGTAGAAAAAACGGATCCGCCCGCAATATCCGTAGAAAAAACGGATCCGCCCGCAATACCCGACGGAAAGACGGATCCGCCGAAATTATCCGAGGAAGAGACGACCGATGCGGATACGTTTGTGCGCGCGGAGTTGCCTGACTTTAACCCCAACCCCCACTCGTGAGTACCCCCTCCCCCGACCACCACCACCACCACCACTACACCTCCCCCACACGCGTGCCCCCGTATGTGTAGTAGCAGTAGATTTTTACCGTCGATTCGAATCTGAATTCGAAGAGGTTCATGTCGGAGTTTACGACACAGTTTATTTTTTTTTGTTTATGTTTATTTAACTCCGTTATACCAGTGTTGGTATTGAAAAAAAAAGCTTGAGTTGCCCCATCTCGTTCAATTATTTAATAATTATTTAAGAAATGTTCTTATACAGTCTGAAAGTAGCCACCTCTCTCGAAACACGTTCGAATCGACGTGCGCGTGTCGTCATCGGTGTTCGACACGTGCGACGTATGTGTTCACAGTCAGTCACAGTTTGTTTTTGTCTTGTTCGGTTCCAGTACGGAAAGATCTTACGCTGCGACTTCAGTTCAGATTCTTTAACAACCTGCAAAAGGGGGCGCGTAGCCAATAAATCAAAGATCGAATAAGGTCAGAGCCGACAGATGGCGAATTTGAGCACGGCGACGCCGTTAACATACTTCGCTTCGAGCTTCTTTAGTGACGAATGATTTGAGTGTAGACACTTGTATACGTGGTGCAATCCGTAGATTTTTTTATTCTCCGTAAATGTAACTTCAGTGAGATTTGAAATTAAATTCCAGGCAATGCTAATGATCGATCATTAAATGATTTATGTATGTAATGAAAATTTATCAATTGAATTCCCAATCAATCAATATTATAGCTACTTATTGATGTATGTATAATAATAAGTTTGTAGTCTTAATTGTATTGGCATAATTAATATTTTTCTGCAAGGAAATAATTAAAAATAGAACGTTGAACGTATCGTTTTCCCCTTTAGTTACATTTTCAGAGTCAATTGAAGGACAAAATATTTTATTCCTAAAGTTTGCACCATATTACATGCGAAATGTAGAAGTGCATCACCTTCGATAAGTGACGCATTTCAAAGTTAACACGTTTTATACTATCTAGTTAATAATCTTTGATTTTTTTAACTATTCGAACCTTGTCTCTAAATATACTCTCGTTCTTTTAGATTTCTACATGTCCTACTGAACAATACTAATTGTTTTCTATGTGATTTATATTTTTCTTTTGATAGATAATATATTAACTTTTAACAATTTAATTTTTAGCCGAGAGGGGAGCGTAGGACCGAATGATAATGTATAGAAACGGCCAGATTCATCGGTAAAAGTCTAATTGTTCTTAGCACGTATGCTGTAACATTGGCCGTTCAGTTATTTTGCCGTGCCATGAAATCACGGGAAATAACAGTTTTGTTTACGATATCGTCGAAGGCTTCCGCTAATCAACTATCAGCTTAGAGCCTCAAAAGTGGGCTCCCAATTGAGACAGGATAGACATATTGTGTTTTGCATCTACCTAATATGTGTGCCGGAAATGTTTTAATTATTTTCAAAACACTATATTCATATAACGCTATACGCTGTTGCATGGCACTGGTTCGCAGCGATGGTGTTATATGACAGAAGTCGGATATTTGTAAATTATAAACTGTATTGGGGTAATCGAATTTAATTTATATAGCGTGATTATTATAAAATACTAATCATAAGAAAAGAGTTTATAGTACATAATCTCCTTTGTTCGAATTACATCAGAATAAGGATATTTTTTATGTTAATTGTAAATATGTTATTTGAAATTCTTATCGCTATGTTAAATTGAACGTTCGCAGTTATATAGCGTGACTATTAAATTTAAAATTCCCTTTTTCAATCCAGGAGTCGTAAACAGTGTCGCTATAACCGGGACAATATTCTTCGTTCAGTTTACTAGATTTTAGATCTTATTTCTAAGCATTTAATGTCATGAAGTAGAACTTTAAGCATCCCGTTATCTCGAATTATAGACCAAATGTCTATTACGTATAAAACTTGCCCCTAACCGAGCATGCCAGTAAAAACTAACTCGTTTGAATGTATGACCGTTTGTTTACTAAACACCACTGTCATTTTACATGGCATGTTGTTTCGATGTGCAGCAAATAATTAATAAAGTCAGTGCT